GCAGTAACCAGGGGCTGGGGCTGCTGTTATGAAATGTTCTCCTGGAGTTTTTTTCATCCATTTTAGCCCTACTTGCTTGTCCTGGAGTCCCACTGGAAAATGCTTCCACTTTGGGCACTCTGTTTATGAGCATTTCCATACTGAACAACCCACATGCCAGCAAATATTTACATTGTTTGTCAACGAAATGGCATTTTTTCCCAATTATTTTGTACAGCTGGTCCTTCCAGACTTCCCATTTCAGCCTGTTTTGGCGAGGGTAGATTTTAAAGGGTGCTTCCCTCCCAGATGCCTTTTGGATGACGGATGGCATGAGCAAGGCCGGGCGTGGAGGGGGATTCTTGCCTTTATTTTTATATTAAGCAATGCCAGCAGCTGTAGCTACCAAGCCCCCAAGCTGCCTCCTACCAAACCCGTCTTCAGGCCACAGCTTTCCTGGTTCCTCTGAGATTAATAGAAGCTAAATGGCCCCAGATGGGGGTTGGAAGCCACCAGGAGAGGTCCTAGCTGAGACCTGAAGCTTTTATTGCTCCCGCGCACTTATTCCAGACACCAGCCCGGGAGCTCCATCCATCTCCCCGTGTCCATGCTCTGGGCACAGACTCCTGCAGCAGCAGGAGCTGCTGGCTCCACCAGGGCTCAGAAGGGGTTTGGGGCTGGGACTGCATTTAGAGTGAGTGACACTTAGGAGTCATATTTTTGCCACCGTCCTGGTGGCTTCAGCCATGCTGGAGGCTCTTCATGCCCCTCCACCGTGCAGGTTGTCCCCATAAAGTTGCTTACTGTTATCATCACCTGGGAAGGGGCCCTTGAACTCGTCCCTTCCTTGTCTCAACCTGGAAGCCCCGGTTTTCTCCTGGGCTTTCTTCCCACTGGTTTGAATGCAGAGCATCAAACACCACTATTTTGTGGGCTGCCTGTCCCCAAGCCCCAGCTGTCCTTGGTGATTGACAGCTGTCAGTCTAGGAAGGCTGGGAGACAGCCCTGCTAGGCAGATGCTGCTCTGGAGAAACTTGTCACATTTGTGTCACTGCTGGAGGAGGAAGCTGCCTGATCTTCAGCCCGTTTCTTCCTGCTTGGGAGCATTCACAGGGTCAGGGAGTCTTTGGCTTCGTGCCGTAGCTTGTTCACTTTTGCTTGTGTGTTTTTTTCCTATTTAATGTACATTGATTGCCAGAGAATCTGAAGCTTCTCATAGGGGTATTGAAGCCCTTGTCAATCACAGCTATCACTGACAATTACCCACAAAGCTGTAATTCCCGCTCATGCAACCCGTGCTTCCCACGCTGCCGCTGCGCTCATCTCCTGCTCAGAGAGGTTATCATCATGTTCTGGAAGTCTGGTGCAAGACAAAGGCTGAACAGCATCACTGCTTCGTTTTTGGTTCATTTTTGGGTCACTTTGACCTGTTCTTTTCTGTGAAATGCTCATCTCGTCCACTGGGCTGTAGCAGCTTAAGCAGTGACAGCCTCTACCTGCTACCTCTTGCCCTGCAGCTGAGAAGGAGCAGCTAAGGGAGGCTGGTCTTGCTTGGGTGGGCAAATAGAGCCGGCTGGCCGGGTTACACCAAGCAAGGCACTGCTTGGAGAGCAACTCCTGTGGCTGGTTATGGGGCTTAACACAGCGTGGTCACTGTTTAACCTGCTCCGGTGCAAAACCACGAGCCGCTGATCAAGCTGAAACGGAGCCCTAAAACCCCACATCTGGTTTCACTCTTTCCCAGGCTGCTTCCCCTCAACCTTCTTCCTTCCACCTCTTCCATCGTCTGGCTTCACAGGGTCACCACACAAGTTACTGCAGCCCTCAGGAGTGTCACCATTGCTGCTGCAATCCCATTTTCCTGCTGCACCGTGTGCATGCAACACTCCGTGTTTTCCTGGCCTGCTTGGTCACGCTTGCAGGGAGATTAACCTGGGTTTAGCCTTTGCTCAGCGGCCATCAAGGGAAACCTGGCGACAGCTCTTGAGCTCCGAGGCCAAAACTCTGCGCTGAGCCGGCCATAGGTCTGTGAACCTTTTTCCAAGGAGTATTTTGCCGCAGATGTGGTGTGTGTTTCACATCCAAAGTTTTATTCCTCAGCCTTCTTGGCTTGACTTTTTCACATAGCTGCATCTTGCTGGAGCCAGAGGAGTCTCATTGCGAGGGAATATTGTGAAATTCGTACTACCGTTAAATGCAGGATTCAGTTTGAGGGAGAGGAGAAAAGCGCCGGGCTCAGACCCTGTTTCACAACGTATTTCATCAAAAATGTATCTGGGAGGCTGCCAGATGTGTTGAAAATGGGTTTTTACTTTAAAAAGAAAGTTTGCTGCTGGATGGGAGCTCACAACCCAGCAGGCACAGCAGTACGGCTGCTGTCTACTTTCATCAGCAGGGCCTAAAAAAGATGTATTGAGTGTGTTCAGATTCCACGGGGCACTTTGTAGGTGCTTTGGTGAGCACTGTAGTGATGTTTCATGTTATTTCTGCGACTTTTCTTTTCCAATGGAATGTGGACGAGTCGCTTAGCCACTGAGCACCGCCAGCTCTGGCTTTTCTCAGTGCACCGCAGGGCAGGTGCCGCGCGCAGGGCCCCGCAAGCCCATTTTGCAGCACAGAGCTCTCCCTCCGCCCAGCGCCTGTGCTCACTGCTCCAAGTCTGGAGCACATACTATTTTTATTTGCATTTTATTTTGTGCCAGAGGAGAGGGCAGAGTAACCCCTGCCGCTGCAACGCGCTGAGTGTAGCTGTGGGCGCTCCGAAACCATTTCCAGACATGGGGAGACAGAAAGCAGTCGCTTGAGAGGCTGCTCAGGGGTCCCTGCAGGGCCGCGGGGCCTCCTTTGCTTTAGAAACGTGGACGTGACTCGCTTTCCATTAAGGAAAAGGTGTTGTTAAAATACGGAATTGTTGCTTTGAAGCCTGAGGTGCCTTTCGTTGAGGTTGGGGGAGCGCTTGTGCAGTCCAAGCTTTAATGCTCTCTGGAGGCCCTTGCTCGCTGGGGCCGCGCGTGTGACGGAGCCCGGGTGCATCCCAGGCCTCCCGTCCCCTTCCCGGAGCCGGCGGAGGACGAGGAGGAGCCGAGGGCGCCCGGGAGCGTCGCGTGAGCCCCGACGCGCTGCCCATTGGCTCCGGCGCCGTCCGACCCGCGCTCCGGGTGCCGCCGGAGCAGCCGCCCCGGCCCAAAGCGAATCAGCTCCCGCAGAGCTGGGCACGGAGCCCAGCGCCGGCCGGAGCTGCCCCGGATCCAGGCTGCTCCGCATGGCCCTTGCGGGGACGTGCTCCCAGCTTCTCCTTCCGCAGCGGGAAGGGCTGCAGATCCAGGCACCCGTTTAACCATCTCTCCCGTTGCCTGGCTTGCTGTGCTGCTGGTCTCCTGTGGTGTTTGGTCCTCCCTGATGCTGTTTGTCTCCTTGGGATGTGCAGGGGCTGTTCCTGGGGAACGGCGTGAGAAACGAGGAGGTTCCCTCATGTTTTTTGGAAAAGCTCTTCTTCCCCCTGTGCCCGATGGGGTCTGTTTTAGGCAGAATTCAATCAATATTCCCTGCTGGAGCAAGGGGGTTGGACTAGGTGATCTCTAGAGGTCCCTTCCAGCCTCAACCATTCTGTGATTCTGTGAATGTTTCTGGAGGCTCCGGCCTGTGACATGGTCAAGGTGGTTCCCAAGTTAGGCAGAGAAGTAATTCCAAGGTGCAGCCTTCAGATTAATATGTGTAGGAAGTACCTTAAGGGTCAATGTAGGGAGGAAGGGGCCAAGCTCTTCTCAGTGGTGGCCAGTGACAGGACAAGGGGAAATGGGTGTAAGTTGAAACACAGGAGGTTCCACCTCCATGTGAGGAGGAACTTCTTACTGTGAGGGTGACAGAGCCTGGAACAGGCTGCCCAGGGAGGTTGTGGAGTCTCCTTCTCTGGAGGTCTTCCAAACCCACCTGGATGCCACCCTATGCTCTGGGTGTCCCTGTTGGAGCAGGGGGACTGGACTAGATGATCTCTAGAGGTCCCTTCCAACCTCAACCATCCTGGGATTCAGGCAGGAGACCCCACGGATGTGCTACAGGCTTCTCCCCAGAAGTGTAGCCTTTCATTTGGCTGCATGTGCTCCTGGGGACACTTTTCTAGGGGAATTACCAGCTGAGGACGACAGCCCCTTATTCCTTAATGGATCACTAATGTTCATGCTCTGACTGCCTCAAGGAGAGGGGTGGGAATGTATAGTGTGAAAATACACTGTCCTAGTGTGAAATCATTGGAAATTCTCTTTCTCAATCCTCTGATCTGCTTTGAGTAGCGCTCTTCACCAGCGGCTGAAGGTACCACGTTCCTTGTAGCTGGCTTTTACACCCAGAGCTCCATATTTCCCTGGGGATGTGCCGTTTCTCTCCCACCTCTTCCCCTCAGCGTGTGTCTCATGCCAGTGTCAAGGACCCGCTCAAGTGGCACCTCCCTTGCCTGCCTTGTGGAGGACCACAGGGAGCGTGGCCCAAAGCAGACGTGACACCTACGAATGTACACGGGTTTATTTATATATGACCTTGGAAAACAGGACAGCCCTTGGCATCCCACTGCAGTCCATCAGGCCATAGGCATTTAAGGGCAGGGTGCTGCTGCACGCCAGTGCTGGCCCATGTTTCATGCACACGTGTCTGCAGGCATTAAGTGAGTGTGAGCAGAGGTGCCATACCATAAATCCAGGCTTGCTCTTGAGTGTGGGCACCCTTAGCTCTGGTTTTGTTAGCACCTTCTTGCCTCTATTTTCCCTCTGTGAAAACACTAGGGAATTCCACTGCAGGAATCTGATTGCTGTCAGGGGTATTCTACATGGGGATGGGGACTTTGGGCTGAATTTTCCTGCTATGGGGAAAGTTTGGTCTGAGAAGGACTTTGTGGGGTCTGGTTACGCTTTGCTCAGAAGGGCAAGCAAGGACACAAAAGTTGTCCAACACCAAATACCTCCGAATTTGCACAGTCACTATAACCTTGTAATGCTCTTATACTAACAGATATTGCCTTGCTTTTCCAGGGAAGGGAACGAGCCTGGGGATTCTGCGAAAATCACATACAATGAGTTGCTGCACAAAGTCTGTCAGTTTGCCAATGTTCTCCGCAGCCAAGGTACGCAAGGGGAGCCAGGGGAGTATGGCAAAGTTGGGATGAACGAGGCCGGGATTTTGGAGTTTGGGTCTACCTTTTGCACAGCAACTGGTTTCCTTGAGTAATTCAGGGCAAAATGCTTCGCTCTTCTGTTTTGCTTCTATGGAAGAGTGGGGTAGATGGAGATTTGCTCTCTGTGAACACTAATCAGAGCTGTGTGGGGAGGAACCTGTGCTCAGGACTGCCTGCCCTGGGGTTTTCTGGCTTGCACAGGTTGCATTTTCATCCTGTCTGATCAGAACATGGAGTATTCGTGGCAGTTTTCTTACAAGTTACCTTCTCAGGTGTGTACCCGCTGTGTCTGGACAACCTGGAGGCCTCTCTGTCCGTTTTCTTGCTCTTTCATTACTGGCACGATGCTCCTCATGCTGCTGGGTGTTCTCAGGTTGCTGGCCTTGGCCAGATGGGCATTGCTGAGAAGTGGCAGTGCAAGTTCACCCCTTGGACGTGAGCTCTTGCCTGCATTACAGAATCACAGAATCTGGGTTGGAAGGGACCTCTAGAGATCATCTAGTCCAACCCCCTGCTCCAGCAGGGACACCCACAGCACGGGACACCGGGTGGCATCCAGGTGGGTTTGGAAGATCTCCAGAAAAGGAGACTCCACAGCCTCCCTGGGCAGCCTGGGCCAGGGCTCTGTCACCCTCACAGTAAGAAGGTCTTCCTCACATGGAGATGGAACCTCCGGTGTTTCAACTTACACCCATTGCCCCTTGTCCTGTCACTGGCCACCACTGAGAAGAGCTTGGCCCCTTTCTCCCCCTTCAGGTACTTACACATATTGATCAGATCCCCTCTCAGCCTTGTCTTCTCCAGAGAAAACAGGCCCACCTCACTCAGTCTCTCCTCATAAGATAGATGCTCCATTCCCTTAATCATCTTGATTCCCTTAATCATTGCTGAGGCTTGTTTAGTTCTAACGCCAGCTGAAGCTTTACTGTGTACATGTCACTGTTGAAATAGAATCATTAGCTTCTTCCTATATTCTCTTCTTTCATGGTTATAGAGTCCAGGTTATGGAGCGGGTAACACTTGCAGCCACAGTTGTTTTAACAGGTTATTAACGTGGAAAAATGGCATTTTCATTTTCTCCCTCGCAGGTGTGAAAAAAGGAGACCGCATTTCCATCTACATGCCGATGATCCTGGAGCTGGTGGTGGCCATGCTTGCCTGTGCCAGGATTGGGGCTCTTCATTCCGTCGTGGTAGGAAGAAGCTCTGCACCTTGGGCTCTGCCCTGAGCTCTTGGAGGGGACAACAGCTCTGTGATCACAAGAGCGAGGGGAGGAGCTGGCAGAGCTGGAAAGATGGGTGCTGACTATGAGATGGGTGGAAATTGAATTGAGGTGCTGCTTAGTTTCCCTCTTCGGCATTTAACGGTGGAATGACGTTTCAGGGGTTGTGCTGTCTCCCCTCTGATAGGTCCCTGGGGAGTTTCCATCTCCTTTAGCTCTCCCATCTGCACCTGGTGCTCAGGGTTGTGTGGGGTGAGCTGCACAGCTGCTCTTGCTTTCTGTGCTGTTGCTTCCTGACCACGTTGTGCTGTGTTCATCAGTTTGCAGGCTTCTCAGCAGACTCTCTCTGTGAGCGGATCCTGGACTGTGGTTGCTCTCTCCTCCTTACTGCAGGTAAAACGTGCGCCCAACTCTGCCCTGTCGCTCTTTGTTATCCAAAAAATCTTAATTCCAAAAACCAAATGAGCTCGGATCTGGAGGAGGAAGGGCAGTGCTTCAGCTGAGCTGCTGCAAGGCAGACAAACTGCTTGTGGCTGTTCTGGAGCACTGTTTTCCACTTTGGATGTGTGCTGAGGTATTTAAGCATCCCTCCCACTTTGCTCTGCAAAGCATGTTGTCACCAGCTGCTAATAACACAGGTTTGAAAGCGTCTCATCCGTGTCTGGCTTCGAAATAAGCCAGATGTTTTCAAGATGCATCACTTTTTGGGCGGGCTGAATACGAGAATTCCCTCCCTGATTTCAAGGAAATATTTGTGCTGTAACTCCCAGCCTTGTAAAGCAAAAAGATTGAGAAAGTGGTAACATTTTTTGTGCAAGTCCACTGCCTTTTCCCCAACTGCTTTCTGTGGTAGTGATGTAACTATTAATAGGTCCATGCTGTGGAAAGGGCCCGTTAGACTTTGCAGTCTGTTCTGTCCCTGTCAGAATATGCCCTGGAGACTCCTTGGGTCAAATCTGACCTCTCCCAGAGAAGGAATTTCACCATTTCTCCTGGTATTTGCTTCTCTAGGCCAAAAGAGCTTGTTAGGAAACCTTTCCCAGTGGCTGCCTGCCAACTTCTCCTCGCTGCAGTCCATGAGTTCAGCTTAGCCCTCCTGCAGCGGCTCCGTTGCTTCCCACTGTCCCAGGCTGTCCCATTGGGGAGCCTGTCTGACGTTTTCCTTGGGCTCTTGCAGATGCCTTTTATCGAGGGGACAAGCTGATTAGCTTGAAGCAGATTGCAGATGAAGCCCTCCGGAAATGTAAGGACAAGTAAGTTTGGATTCTCCTGTAAGAAGCATTTCTGCTGGAGCTGCTCCATGCCCAGCTGGCTGTGGACACATTTCTCTTCTCCAAGCCCTGTCCCTCTGCTGCAGGGTCACTGGGGCTTGCATCCCAAGGTTGTCCTGAAGTCTGCAGGACCCCATGCAGGGATGACATGGGGCTGCCATGGGCAGGGAGCCCTTTCCAGTCATAGGCACAGCCTAAACTGAAGGCCTGTTTGGCAAGTTCAGGTTGCCTGTGAAAGGAAATTCTGCCAGAGGGAAGGATGCTGATGACAGGACTGTTAGGGAACACCGCTAAGTCCCTGTTGGTGGATGCACTGGCAAAATGCACCAAGGTGCCTCCTCCTGTGAGCTGCTGTATCTGGAGAAAGGAGTGAACGTGAGATCCACAACATCGTCCTGGTGCTAAAGACCTGCACCATGGCAGGACACAGTGGTAGGAGCTGATGGGCCTGATGTCTCCTGCCCCTGTCTGGGGGCTTTGAGTGTGTGGAAGCGGCTCCTTCTCCTGCTGGCAGGAGAAATCACTGGAGAAAAGCTGGTGGATTGAGTTAGGACGTGGAGGAGACGACCAGGAGAGGGTGGGGAGAAGGCGATGGAAGCACCTGTGGGCTGCAGGGATGGTGCTGGAGGCCTCCTGCACAGATGGGGTCAGGCCCATGGGATGTGCAGCCCCTTCTCTCCGGGAACAGCAGCTCTTCCCGGTGATCTCACGGCACGGGCAGGGCCAGCTACAGCTCAGCCCGCGTTGCTGCAACGTGGGAAGGGCCGGCTCAGCCCGCACTTGTCTCAACAGCCCTGTCCCCTTCGCAGGGGCTTCCCTTTGGCAAAGTGCATCGTGGTCAAGCACCTGGGGAGGGGAGAACTAGCGGAGGACGGGACGTGCAGCAGGTCGCCCCCGCTCAAAAGGCTCTGCCAGGAGGTGCAGGTATGTTCCTGGGCACGAGGGGAGGTTGGGGTGGGTTTCATATGGGTCTGAGCCCAAATCAACTGATGGGAAACTGCTGCAGTGCGTCCCTGGGTGCTCCTGGTCCTTCCTCCCTGGGTTGCATTGCAAGAGGTGTGAGAAAAGCTCCTGTGTCTTTCCAAGATCCTCTCCCTGCTGCTTCCTTTAACACCATCACTAGCTGCCAGCCCATGGAGCCCTGCAAGCACAGCAGGGAATCTCTTCCAACAGCCTGGAGCCTGTAGGACCAGGACAAGGTGCCTGTTTCCCTGCTCATGAAGGACTTGTCCTTCCGAATCCTGTATCCATGTTCCCCGTTGCGCGGGGAGTCGTGGCCTCCTGCGCTGCAGCTGTGGAAGTGGGAGGGGAAAACAGGAGCTTTCTGCTTGTGGCCAGGATGCAGCACGATCCCACAGCGTGATAACGGCTCGTCGGAAGATGGAAATCGTGCAGCTCCTGTGTAGCTGACATGAGCAAGGCACGTTCTTCCTTTGGTTGTAGCTCTGGGGAGTTCCTGGGCCAGGCAGTGTACGTGCCAGTGCCCCCACCTGGTAGGAAAGGGCTGTTCTCAGACTATTTTTCAGACTGCTTTCAGACTGTTCATGGTCTCTGGCACAAAATGTGTGCCCCCTTTGCTGGTGGAATTGGGTGCCATGATGGCTAGTGGGAGCTGACGAGGGCACGCGTCTTCTCCAGTGATTGAACTGGGGCAGTTGGCCCAAGTCTTTGCAGAGGGACGTTGGGTACCTCCTGCTAGTGCACTGAGCTATTCCAGGAGCTGAGATTTGGTGAGTGCAGGCATCAAACTCAGAGTACAGCCTGAGTAAAACCCAGAAATGGGTTTTTCTTGGAGCATGCATTCGATTGAACATGGGGTGCCCTTTCAAGAAGGGATGGCCTGTGCATATCCCTGGGACAACAGGGACAGTGGGTTATGTGTTTTTGAGTTGGTCTTGTCTGTACAGTGGGTTCATTTTGTGGAGGTGGTGTCTCGTGCTTGCCCATCTGGGCAGGAACATTGGCCTCTCCCTACCCTCTAGGACAGGGTAGCTGCGAAGGGGTGGGAAAACTGGACCAGGGCAGCACTTTGACCCTGTGTTCCTGGTCAGGAGGCTGTCGTGGTTGCTCTGGGTGATGGGAGGTGGTTGTGCAGAATGTCCGAGGAGGAGGAGGCTGAAGGGACCTCCGGCTCCACTGCTGCTCTTGTTCAGACACTGTAATAAAGGCGTTTTTAACTCGTGAGTGTCTTTGGTGCCGCGGAGGCTGCACATAATCAGGGGACACAGTGGGAGTGGGGAGGCTCTCACAGAATCAAATCACAGGATGGTTGAGGTTGGAAGGGACTTGTAGAGATCATCTAGTCCAACTCCCCTGCTCTGGCAGGGACACCAGGAGTATGTGGCACAGGGCGGCATCCAGGTGGGTTTGGAAGATCTCCAGAGAAGGAGACTCCACAGCCTCCCTGGGCAGCCTGTGCCAGGGCTCTGGCACCCTCACAGGCAAGAAGTTCTTCATCACATGGAGATGGAACTTCCTGTGTTTTAATTTACACCCATTACTGCTTGTCCTGTCACTGACCACCACTGAGAAGAGTTTGGCCCCTTCCTCTCACCTTTGGAAGGCACCACCTGGCCTGGGCCCTGCACCGGGGAGCCCAGTACCCGACACGTGTGACGTGGATCCTCCGCTTCTCAACTTTCACACCCTCTTTGTGGATTTTTAACAGGAAAAAAAGACTGGGAGCTCAGAGAGACCCCACCCCAAGGTATTTATGTGTGGTGCTGCCTGCCTCTCGCCCCGCTTCCCGCCGGCGCTCCCCCTTTCTAACCGCTCTGCACGGCCTCCACACGCGTGGCCTCCTCATCGGATACCCGCAGTTGCATGTTAGCAGTAGATACCACTAGCTGCTTGGCTGCGCTCACTGAGGGTCTGCCACCCTGCCCAGCAGAGTGGGCGAATGTGGTTGAGGCTCCGCTGGGTGCTGCAAGGGCTGGAGGCCCCATAGAATCCTTAAGGTTGGAAGGGACCTCTGGAGGTCATCATCTAGTGCCCCTGCACACACAGGGTCACCTAGAGCATGAGGCACAGGACAGCGTCCAAGGAGGGTTTGAAGATCTCCAGAGAAGAACCGAGGCTTCTCCTCGCTTGGAGAAGCAGGTGCTGGACAACATGAGGACATGTTCTGGGACCTGGTAGGGCCACCAGCCCCGTCTTCTGTTCCCCCTTTGGAGGGACCTGCTAGGGTTGCTGGCCCCGTCTTCTGCTCCCCCTTTGGAAGAACTGGTCTGAACGCCCTCGTTTTCTGTGAGGAGAAGCTGCAGAACTTGGAGCCGCTGGCACCCTCTGTGCAGCCTGAGCCCTGCGCACTCGCGGTGTTGAGGCAGCAGCACCAGCTCTGCTGCTGGAGATGAGCCACAGCTTGCAGGGACCTCTGAACACGTGTGAACTGGTGATGGGGTGAAAGGCAGACCCACCGGGAATCGCTGCCTTGATTTTCCAGTTGGGATGGCGCTTGGTCTGCTTCCCTTGAAAACACGATATCAGGATGCGCTTCCCGTTGCCGTGAGCTTGCTCAGGGCCTTGTGCAGTGGGAGGGCTCTGCTAACACCTTTCCTGGAGCCAGGACCTCCAGAAGCCGCCTGGCCAACGTGATGGGACCTTCAACGCAGCAGGTCTGCTGCAGCACTGGCGCTTGCCTCTCATCCTCTGCGCAGCTTCCATGAGCAGCAGCTCTATTTTGAGGATTCAGCTTTCTGCTGTCCTCCAACGTGAGCTGGGCTTGGGGGACTTGGCCAAGGGGCCTCCCTGGCAGCTCCTCGCATCATTACACTGAGCTGTTTGTGTGTTCTCCCTTCATTGGGGTGCCCAGTGTGTGCTCCTCAGTAGCCCCTGGTGAGCAGGTGAGTGGGAGGCAAGACCTGGCTTGGCCTGCTGCTTGTCATCCTGGGGCTGTGACTGGCTCCGTAGGCTGGAGGAAGTTTGGTGTGAAAATTAAAGTGTCTTGGCATGAGGGATGCGGGGAAGTGAGTGTTTGATGGGTCAGTCAGTGTTTATGGGTCAGTTTGATGGGTCAGACTAGCTTGGTCTCATATAAGATTGTGCCTTGCTGGGAGCTTGGTGATGCACCAGGCTTGTGGAAATCAGGCTCCAGGAGCTGCCTGGCAGAGCTGGGGATCCCATGTGAGGTTCCATAATAGCCATGTGAGCCATTTTCCTCCTGGAAGAAGGGCAGAGCAGGTGGTGTTCCCTGCATCAGGTGTGCTGAGCTTCTGGTGGCTGCTGGACTGCAGGGTCCCAGTGGCTCTTCCCATTGGGAATTCAGGGGTGCAGGATTTCCAGTATTGGCCCTTGCTCCCCTTCAGCTGCTTCGTACAGCCTGGAGCAGCTGGGATCCAACTCACTGCTGGGGAGCTCACACACAGGATGGGCTTAAGCTTGAAGATCCACCAGCTGGGCAAGTGCCACGAGCTCTACTGCTTGGGTTTCCTTCCTACTTCTGTGGGGTGGCACCCGGCCGTCCCCATCTCTACCTCCTGGACCAAACTGTAATTCCAGCCCGTTTGCTAACGCGACAGTCCGGTGTGAGCAACTGCTGGGGCCTGGGCTGCAGCTCGGGGTTCGTGTGCTTGCACGATGGGCCCTAGCGCTGCAAGGAGAAGATGGGCCCCAGCTGCACGTTGGTGCTGCAAAGCTTTGGGTCAGCGTGCCTGGCCCTGCGGAGATGTGGAAGGCAGAGGTCTGCTCTCTGCCGGAGGAATGCTGCCTGCTCAGCTGTTTCCCGAGTTCCTCCGAGGAAAGGAGAGAAGGTCAGGGGAAATCAGGCCCCACGCTGAGCTGTGGTGTCCTGGAGATGCAGCTGGCCAAGGTGACTTTCAGGGTGACCTCTTCTAACCACTCAGACGCTCTGTTGTAGCTCCAGCATCTGCAGTAGGGGTCCGTGCGAGTTGTCCGGGACCGGTAAACACGTGGCCAAGAGGTTGTGTTGGTGTTTGATTGCTGCCCCAGGAAAGCAGGACGGGGAGCCCGTTTGCCACCACAGCCCAGAGCAGCCAGTGCTGCCCCCTCACGGCAAGGGGCATTTCTGAGCATTGCCAGTGGGGGCAAAGATGCTTCAGGTCTTGCAGTGAGACCCCGTTCAGGGGCTTTCCTAGTGGCTGGGGGCTGTGCAAGGAGCTTCCTGCAGCTCTCGTGCATGGTTTGTGGTGGGTGGCCATGAGGGGTGCAGCCCCTTGTCCCCTCTCCGTCCTTTCAGAGCTGCCGTCTCTAATCTCCCGCTTTCCCCAGACGCCCTGGGATCCGACCACGGACATGTGGTGGCACGAGCTGATGGGCAGCGCCAGCACGGAGTGCGAACCCGAGTGGTGCGACGCGGAGGACGCGCTCTTCATCCTCTACACCAGCGGCTCCACCGGGAAGCCCAAGGTGGGATCCCCTGCCCGCCTCGCTGCCCCAAGGGGATGGAGATGCCTCCGAGACGGGAGCCGATGAGGGTTCCTTTGGGAGGTCTCCATAGGAAGAGGAGCTACGGAGGCTTTGGGAGAGGGGATGTGGGGGTCATTCCTGTTGCTGCTTGTCAGTGGACCAGCGAGGCTCAACTTGGGCTGGGATGGAGGGGACTTTGGCTGGGAGTTTGCCCTGATGATCCCGCGCCTTCTCCTTGCAGGGCGTTCTGCATACCGTGGGTGGATACATGCTCTTCGCTGCCACCTCGTTTAAGTATGTGTTTGATTACCACTCTGACGATATCTACTGGTGCACAGCGGACATCGGCTGGATAACAGGCCATTCGTACCTCACTTACGGACCCCTGGCAAACGGGGCAACTAGTGTGTTGGTAAGTGCTGGGTGGCCCTTGGCTGCCTCTCCACCAAGGTGTTGATCACGATGCTCAGCTGCAGCCCTGAATTGCTCTGTGCTGCACTTGGCAGGACACACGTTTCTGTGCCAAGTCCCTTTGTGCTTTCCGTGCTATGTTGCAATGTGTTGTCCTCGGTGAGGAAGTCCCCAGGAGGGTCTGGGTGACTGCTCAGTGCTCTGGAGGAAAGGACTGGGATCTGTGCGTGATTTTGGGGCCATTTTTCAAATACTCCTGTTTCTTTTTCTTAGATATTCAAGCTCTGTTCCAGGGGAGTCAGGGCTGCTGCAGGCTAATAGGAAAGCTGGATGCTGAGCAGGGAAATGTTCATACTGCTCAAGCTAGTCTAACATCTTGTATTTAACTCCTCTGCCTGCATCCTCTGCCTGCATCTCCTTTGACAGTGTATGGGGAAAAAAAAGAGAGCCAAGGCCTTTTCCCAAAACTCCTGGGGGAAATGCAAGCAGAAAAAGTCACTTTTACTTTGGGAGAAACTTTTTAAGGCTTTTGATGTCTTTGGTTCTGGTTTTGTGACTCTGTGTTTGGACTCATCACTTGATGTCTTGTGGAGAGTGTCCTTGGGCTGGTGGAACAGCGTTCCCTGCAACAGCCACCCAAGTGCCCTTGCTGCTAGGAAGTTGGTGGGGACATGGACTGGGACATCTGAGATTGGGAGCGGGATGATAAATCCATACTGAGGAGGAGGTGAGATGGGGAAATGGACCGGTCTGGTTTCACACGCCACTCCCCACTCCCCTGCATGCCAGTTGAGGACATGTAGGGATCCAACTGCTGTCCCCCCTTGCTCCCAGCGCCTGTTCCTTGTGAACATCCCTGCCGACGGTTGCAGGGAGGTGGTGCTCATAGACAGCCGTGTCACTGCCCTGTTTCCCACTCAGTTTGAAGGTGTCCCCACCTACCCGGACGTCGGGCGAATGTGGAGCATTGTTGACAAGTACAAGGTGACCAAGTTCTACACGGCGCCCACAGCCATCCGGCTGCTCATGAAGCACGGGGAGGAGCCCGTCAAAAAGTGAGTGCCACCCCCAGTGGTGTGGGGACCTCCCAGGCTCCTGACGAGGGGACAAGGGGTCACAACTTCCCCGAGCAGAAGCTTCCCCATTGCATTTTGTGAACAAAGATTCGGATTGAATCTTCTGCATTCAGTCCAGGGATGAGCAGATACCTATGGCTCAGTCACAGCACTTCTGAGCAGGTCCTTCCCATTTACCATGAGCTGCAACAAAGCTCTGAGGATCCAGACTCCGCTCTGTCCTGCTCCTGAGCTGAAGCTTGCAGAGGTGTGACAAGCAGAGAGCCTGTGTGTGTGGTGTTCCTGAACCCAGGGAAGAGACAGCAGAGCTGAGTGTGTTCCTGTCCCTACAACGTGTCCCTATGATTCCTCCATTCCATGAATGAAGACAAATACTCCGAGGTCAACAGCAAACAGGCTGTGCTGAGGAGCTTGAAACTCGACTCACTATTCATAAGTCAAGAACAGCTAATTTCTGCTTTCATATAAAACACGCAGGAAACAGAAGTTTCCAAAATAGTTTTGACCTCTCAGCTCTCTCAAATCAGCATAGGGAAAAAGTAGTAGCCAGGCTTTTTCATATAATTAAGTGACCCCCATCACTTAATCATGCCATCACTAGTGCTTCTGACTAGGAGCCATTCCCCATGCCAAGGCAGCTGAAACGCTCTGTGTTGGTAGGTTAGTTAGGTAAATTGTTAGACTTTTAAGGTTGGAATTGTAATGAGCTGAGTGCATCCTCAGTCTCCTGTGAGCTTGAAGTGGGACATACCCAAGCCCTGGAGGTCTCTCCTCCACCCACATGGCAGAGCACTCGGAAGGACTAAAATGTCCTTGGGCTGCTTGGGTGGCCTAGAGGTGCCCTAGAGTTGCCCTGCCTCTGCTCCACAGGCACAGCAGGAAGTCTCTGAAGGTGCTGGGGACTGTCGGGGAGCCCATCAACCCCGAGGCCTGGCTGTGGTACTACCGTGTGGTGGGAGAAGAGAGGTGCCCCATTGTGGACACCTTCTGGCAGACGGAGACGGTGAGTCCTTGCCCGGGGGGCTGCGGGACCTCCCTCTCCCTGGTGCTCCCAGCATAGCAGGGTCCCCTTTGCAGGTTTGCAGTAGTGCTGCTGTGGGGACCAGCTCTTTGGCTTGTACAGGAGCCTCTCGACCTCCTGTGTGCCCAGGATTGAATCTGTTGGCTCCAGTTATCTCTCCTGCCTGGACCTCAACAACATGGAGGTCTGGAACATCTGCCCCATGAGGAAAGGCTGAGACAGCTGGGCCTGTTCAGCATGAATAAAAGGCTGAGGGGGGACCTATCAGTGTCTGTAAACACCTCAAGGGAGGGAGCGAGGAGGATGGGGTGGCCTCTTTTCAGTAGTGACCACTGATAGGACTAGGGTAGATGGTCACAAATTGAAGCACCAAAAGTTCCACAGGAACTTATGGAAAAATTTCTTAACAGTGAGAGTGACAGAGCCCTGGAACAGGTTGCCAGGAGAGGTTGTGGAGTCTCCTTCTGTGCCACATGCTCTAGGTGACCCTGCGTGTACAGGAGGGTTGGACTAGATGATCTCCAAAGGTCCCTTCCAACCTTAAGGATTCTATGATTCTGTGGGGAGACCTTTCCCTTGATGGCTGCCACCACTCTGCTCTGATCCCTGCTTGCAGCTGCCCTCTCCACCTCTTTCTCTTTTCCAGCTGCAACAGGACCTCCTGCCCCAACCCAGCCCCGCTGTCTCCCTCCTCCTTGAGGCCCCGTCTCCCGACTGCGACCAGAGGTGCCCGGAGCCGAGCAACGGCGGCCGCGGGCCGGGCGGGCCCGGCCTAACCGCCTTCGCTTTGCCTCTCCCTGCAGGGTGGCCACATGTTGACGCCGCTCCCTGCCGCCACCCCCATGAAGCCGGGCTCTGCTGTGAGTAGCTGGTGTCCCCGGCGGGGAGGGGACAGCCCCGCGCGTGCCCTGGACAGGGCTGAGGTGGCTTTGGGCTGTGGTGGCCCGGGTTCCACCTCAGTAGGTGGCCGCGATGTGAAATGTCCCATCTGACACTTCCAGATGTGGTCTCCAGGGCTGCCTCTGGGCAATTTTAGCATGGGGGGTTTCATCTCTCCTTCTGCCTTTCCATGGCAGACGTTCCCCTTCTTCGGCGTGGTCCCTGCCATCCTCAACGAGTCGGGAGAAGAGCTGGAAGGAGAAGCAGAAGGCTACCTGGTAAAGAAGGGCTCACGGTCTTCCCAGTCCTCCCTTTGTCCCTGCCTGTTCCCCTCGAGCTCCAGCACGTTCCTGGTACAGTGCACACATCTCCACCTACGCTGGATCCAGCCAAGGGGCCTTTTCTGTGATGGGAACAACCTCTACAGCCATAACTCAAGTTTTATGTCCTAAACAAGCTGTGTAAGCAACCACTGATGCAACACACAGAAGGCAACAGCTTTTCAGTGCTCCTTCCCCTGTGTCAAGCGTGGTGAGACTTGCCCAACAGAGCAGCACTGCAGTGAGAGCAGGGCCAGCAAGTGTCATCATCCACAGTCAGCTCTGCAGCGCTTTTCTTACTACATCCTGCTGCCCCTGCAGGATTATTTCCCCTCCCATCATGCAAGAAATACAGTCTGTTCAGGCCAGGAATGGGGTGGGTAGAACAGCAGCTGCCTGATATCCCGATCCCGCGAACAGCTCTTCAGCACGAGGTAGTTGCTCCCATGTGCCAGGCAGTTACAAAAGGATAAATTTTGCTAAGGTTGTGGAGCAGCGTAGGAACCGCAGCTGCTGCCCAGGGTTATTTAGGTCAGTAGGGGTGGTTAGAAACAACCAACGGAGAGTTAGTGCTGCTGGTTGGGTTCTGCTCCCACTGATTCCTATCTGTGCTTCCCACCGTCAGGTCTTTAAACAGCCCTGGCCAGGAATAATGCGCACGGTGTATGGAAACCACCAGCAATTCGAGACCACCTACTTCAAGAAGTTCCCTGGGTACTACGTGACGGGCGATGGTGAGGAGCACCCCCAGGGGCCTGGGGCCAGCAGCATAAATCTTGCCCTGTCCTGGTCTCGGAATCCCCTATCAGTTGCTCTGGGGGCTGACGCTGCTTCCTCACGCTGTCATTTCTGCCTATTTTTAGGTTGCAGGAGAGATAAAGACGGTTATTACTGGATCACAGGACGAATTGATGACATGTTGAATGTTTCTGGTGAGAAAAACAACTTTTGTCTTCCATGGAAGCCAGTGTACCTTTTTAGATACCAGCTCAAACCACAGCACTGCTCTAGGGACACAGTTCTGTCCATGACTTTGCCCAGCCATCTGTCCTTGAGCTGGATCGGATTGCAGGATCTTGCTCATTCCCAAGTCAGTAGGGCCTGTGACTTTGCGACTTGCTAGGATAATCCTTCCAGAGGAAACACGCTGGAGAAAAGGAGCTTTCTGTAGTCTCTTAGAGGAAGTTTTTAAGCACTCAGGGTGCTCCCTTGCTGAAGCATTTGGCGTGACAGGAGATTTTAGACTCATAAAATCATTAGGATGGGTAGGACCTCTGGCATCTCTAATCCAAGCTGCTGATCCAGGTGGGCTAACCTCAAAGCCAGATTAGGCTGCTCAGGGCTTTGTCAGGTCGAGTTCTGAAATTCCCGAGGGACTGAGACTCTCCCACCTCTCTTGCCTGAGTTTTCTGGGATTCACCTTCATTTCATCCCACCCTGCCTTCCCTATGCTGTATTAATGAGCTCCCTTCCTCCTTTCCTGCAGGCAGTAGCCTATAGATTCTTGCTACTGCTTTTGAGGGGTCTGCTGTGCTTTCCTTGGCTTGGAGCTGATCCTCCATCCTGAAGTTAATGCTTGTTCATATAATACTACATCAAGGTCATGTAATACGTCCCAAGGTAGAGTGGCAGAGTGTGGGTACAGCTGGAGCAGACCTGTACAAAGGAGAGTTGTGCCCCTGCCCCATGATGAGGAGCTTCCCTCCATCTCTCCCAGATGAGCGTGGTCCACAACAGAGCCAGTCCTTGGGCTCTGCAGGTTCGGGCTTGCTCTTCTCTGCGTGTTCCAGGTGACCTTGTGGACCCGTCTCCCCTTAGCGCTTCCAGCTCCTTCTCGGCCGGCGCTTTCCTTAATCTGATGGATGTGAATGATTCACAAATCTGTTTAAGAAGCCCAAAGGTGATAGGGATAAGGGCCAGGGCCTTTGTCTGCAGCGCTTAGCTAATCCTGTGCTGATGAGAGGACAGCCCAACAGAGCCCTGTTGAAGGGGGCGTTATTTCTCAAGCTGTTTTCTCAGCCACGCAGAACTGGTGGTGTCAAACCTCCAGGTTTAGGACGTTTCAGACTCGTGGGCCCCTTCCTGGTGACTGCTGGGCCTCTCGGAGGCCTCAGCCCCGCACGGGTGGGTGACACGTCGCCCTCCTCTGCTCGCAGGCCACTTGCTGAGCACGGCGGAGGTGGAGTCGGCCTTGCTGGAGCACGCGGCCGTCGCCGAGGCGGCCGTGGTCAGCCACCCGCACGCCCTCAAAGGCGAGTGCCTCTACTGCTTCGTGACGCTCAGAGACGGCCACGAGTTCACCAAGAACCTGGCAGAGGAGCTGAGGAAACAAGGTAGTTGGGCCGGAGAGGAGGCGGTGCTGGAGGGGTTGAGGCTTGGGTGGCAGTAGGCGAGGGCGCGTGGGGGATCCAGTGTGGACAACTGCGCCAAGGTGGCCCCTGTGCCCGGAGAGCATGGCTGGGGGACACGGAAATGGGATCCTGGCTGCATTAGGAGGATGTTGTCAGCAGGTCGAGGGAGGGGATCCTGCCCCTCTGTTCAGCTCTGGTGAGGCCGCACCTGGAGTACTGGGGGCAGTTCTGGGCTCCCCACTATGAGAGGGACGTGGAGCTTCTAGAGAAGGTCCAGCGGAGGGCAACAAAGATGATTAGGGGACTGGAACATCTCTTGTAAGAGGAGAGACTGAGTTGGGCCTTTTTTCCCTGCAGAAGGTTGAGAGAGCATCCGATCATAAGTACATTAGGGGGGAATGTAGGGAGGAAGGCGCCAAGCTCTTCTCAGTGGTGGCCAGTGACAGGACAAGGGGCAATGGGTGTAAGTTGCAGCATAAGAAATTCCATCTCCATGTGAAGAAGAACTTCACTGTGAGGGTGACAGAGCCCTGGCACACGCTGCCCAGCGGGGTTGTGGAGTCTCCTTCTCTGGAGGTCTTCAAGGCCCGCCTGGATGCCACCCTGTGCCACGTGCTCTAGGTGTGCCTGCTGGAGCAGGAAGATGGACTAGATGATCTCTGGAGGTCCCTTCCAACCGCAACCATTGTGTGATTCTGTGAAATTCCACGTCCCAGCCTTTGGTGAAGGCTCCTGAAGCCCTTGGAAGCTGGTGGGCGAGCGGAGGCGTCGCGTGGCCTGCAGTGTCTGCAGCAGCGCTCGCCTGCGCGGGCGCCGAGCCCGGGCCCTCCTGTGCAGCCCTGTTGCAGAGGGACTATTGGCAGGAGGGGGCCCTGCTGCAGCCCATCTCCAGTGACAAACCCCCAGCTTCGGCTCAGAGCAGGGGCAAAATATCCGGGGATCCACTGTTTTACACAACTGCTTCATTGCCCGGGGTGACGGTTGGGTTGTTTGTGCCCAGCCCTCGCTGAATTCTTTTATTGTCACTGAGGAGTCTTTTTATTTTTCAGTCCGAGAAAGAATCGGACCGATAGCGACACCTGATTACATCCAGTACGCGCCCAGCCTGCCCAAGACGCGCTCAGGTAAGGGGGCAGTCACAGCACTGAAGGATGGACATCCCCAAAGTGCTTGTCTGGTTCCACCGAAGCCCAGGGGCACAAAGCCCAAGACCAGGGGGATGCAGTAGGTCTGGGCAGCCCCTAGGCCATGCTCAAAGGCTCCTGCATCCTGCTTCCCTCTGTCTTTACAGGAAAGATTACCAGAAGGATATTAAGGAAGATTGCCCAAAATGACCAAGATCTGGGGGACATCTCCACCCTGGCGGACCCAGGCATCATAAACCACCTTTTCAAGAACAGATGTGACACCAAACTGTAGCAGTGTGACCTGTCCCTGCTGAACAGAACTGCAGCAGTGTCCTGAGGAGCGGGTCCCTCAAGAAGCGGCTGTCTGCCCTGGAACAGAAACCTTGTCCTGATGAACTGAATGTACAAAAGCTGTAAAGGAGGGAACGGCTGGTTCTGGAGAGGCCCCCCTTGTGCTTCCTTCCTTCCTTCCGGAGGTTCCAGCTCCGTCACCGCTGACAGAGGGGCTTCTGCTCTTCCCTTTTCATCACCTTGTTCATGATTTTGGAGGGGGCTGGGAGGGGGAATTAATTAATTTTATCTAATTAAGGGGTCCTGGTGTGTTGCCTGCAGCAGGAAGGAGCAGGAGGTTGGAGAGGAAGGGGTCCTGTCCACAGAAGTCTTGGTCTGGGGTGCTCTGCAGAGCACTGGCCCTCTGCTCCCTGGTGCCACCAGTGAAGTCTGGAGGCAGGACAAGGCTGGGGGCGAGAAGCAGGTGCTACTGCTACCCCAAGGACAGGGGAGAGGGGCAAAAACCCGAGCAAAGCCACCCCACTGCTCTCCAGAGGAGCGTCTCCCAGTACAGGCTGACCACGTGCGTGGTGGAGGGCAGCAAGCCCCTTGCTGCAGCAAAGAAACCAAGGCAGGCAGGGCTCTGGCCCAGAAATAAAAGAGGGAAAGACATTGAAGTGCAGCTGTTGCTGAAATCTGAAAGGGCCTTTTGATAAAGGGGGAAAAAAAAAGAGAGAAAAATCTTATCTCCAGCCAAAGGGTGCTGCCAAAGCCAACAATACTGCCATAAATAAATTTAATTTAATCCAGCCCTGGGTTGAGCTGGGAAAGATACCTCCTTTCTAATGGCTGTATTGGACGTACGCAGGAGCTGCAGGGCTTGCACTTCGGCTGGAGGAGAAAGAGGCTGTAAAAGCTGCTGCGAGAGCTGTTTGCGAACCCCAAAGTACAGGTTTTGCCTGCCAAAGGAGCTCATTTCTCGATGGTCTGGAAAGGAAGCAGCCGTCTCCAGGACGGATTGCTCAAGGGAAGGGTAGAGGTGCTCTGAGGGGCTCTTGTCCAAGTCTCATTTCTACCTGCTGCTCTCCTTGGCACTGTAGCCGCCTGTGACACGTAACTTCCATGGGGGCCTGTGTCAAACGCTCCACCCACAGCTCCGAACGGCTGCTCCACCTGCTCAGAACTCCCACACTTGCTCTCCTCCTGTTCTACTGAGTCTGTGGTGTAATTCTGGCTGCAGACAGCTGAAATTCTATGCAAAGAGAGAATAAAAATCAAGGAAACACAATGGAAACCGGTGTGGCACGTGTGCATTGGTTGTAGGCACCTGTCTGGTGTTTGAGTCCAGAGGGAGATGGGAGCTTAGCAGTTATCCTTAGCCCAACCTGGATAGATTGTGGAAACCATGAGCTCCTCATGGAAAAGGTCTTGGCAGAGCACGCAGGGAGCCTCTGGGCTTGATGCAATCCCTTGTTCCCAGGCACCACATGGCACATCACACCAGCTCAGCAGAGAAGCTGAGGCCATTCTTCTGGAGCAGGGACCATCTGCCATTCCCCACACAGGAGGGAGCACCAAGCTGGGCTCTGAGCCCAGCTCGGGCACGTTGTCCAGGGGAAGCATTGCTGGGTTTGGCTTTCCTGAAGTCCTGCATGAGCAAAACACAGGCTGGTTGTGGGGTCAGAGAGAAACTGTCAGCACTCGCGTCTCCTCAACATGGGCCTGTAGGGTTGATTGCAGTTACCTACATAGAAAAATAACCTTACCTACACAGAAATAACCTTACCTACATAGAAAAACAACCATCAGACATTTCAGGGCAGCTCCATAGGAGATAAGCAAGGAAGGATGAGCAAGGAAATCAACAGGGAAAGGAATGATGGGAGCTCTGACCCACTCCCACAAACTCTGGCAGTACCTGGTGTGTTGATAATTGATATCCTTAAAGGCAAAGATTCAAAAGGTTCCTCACCATAAGAGATGCTCCTGGCAGAGAACAAGGAAATATGGACTGATTTTCCTTGCGGGATATATTCCCAGACAAAACTGACACGAGAACAGCATTTAGATTGAGCGTACATTTTAATCTCTGCATGGGGGTAATCAGCCCCCCCCCCCCCCCCCCCCCAATTTAACAACAACCCAGGAACCACAGAACCAGCTACACTCAACGATTCCCAAGTTCAGGATTGAAGCACCCAGCCTGAGCAGTGCCCATGGCAGGGTGCAGGCACAGATTCAGTCAGCAAAGTGATTCAGGCGAAATACTGCCTTAAAGATTCTTCCCTCGGGTGTCACCATAAAGCAGATGGAAGGCTACTCGGGTGCTTTACCAGGCCGCTTCCAGAAAGGTCCCTCTATTTTATGTTTCTCTATGACTTGCTTGGCTCATGAAGGGTGAGTAGAGGAGGGTCACACCAGTGGAAGGGGCAGAAGGCCACGGGAGCAGAACCCATTTCACAGAATTCCAGAATGGTTGAGGTTGGAAGAGACCTCTAGAGATCATCTAGTCCAACGCTCTGCTCGAGCAGGGACACCCAGAGCACAGGGTGGCAGCCAGGTGGGTTTGAAGATCTCCAGAGAAGGAGACTCCACAACCTCCCTGGGCAGCCTGTGCCAGGGCTCTGAAGGGGCCCATTTGCCCCCTTCCCTGTTCCCACCAGTACACGAAACCTCAGGGAGACACCTCTCGCTGTCCACTGCCACTGGTCCCTGCGGTGACAGCAGTGGCAGAGCCACGCAGGCAGCAATGGGCTGCCACGAGCAACTGCCCCCTGCTCCAGGGAGGAACGAAGGAAAATCCTGGGTCTGAAGACACAGCTCGGGCTGCGTTTGCTGCCCTCTGTGCTCCCCTTGTTTCCCACCCACAAAGGTGCCCATCTCACCACGCCACAAGTCCTGGAGGGTGATTAAAGAGGCCAGGCCTCTCAGCTGCTGCCCTGCTCCCTCACACAGTAGTGGCAGCTCAGGCAGGAGATGCTCAGTGCTCAAGGAAACATCCCATCAATGGAATAGTGGGAGGTCAGGACTGGGAGCTGCACCTGGGGCAGGTCTGGACCCACTGGGCAGGAAGGAGAAGGGAATCTCTTCCTTCGACAGGGGAATTGCAAATGGGAAGCTGGGCCTGGCACGTTGTACAGTCCCTCCTCATGATCCCAAACACCTCAGGACCTTGGTAACTGCACCCTGAGGGAAAACATCCCCGCGGCAGCCGAGCTCCTCGGGCAGCAGAGCAAGGATGGGGCATGGCCCCCTCACACCAGGTAGGGGGTGTCCAGCACGGCCACGCCGGCCGCGACGCCGCCGTCCGCGTGCTCGATCGCCTTGGTCCGCAGCAGGTGCCCGGCCGACTCGTTCAGCACCAGCTCCTTGCCCTGCCTGCACAGAAAAGGGCAACTGAGCACCCGCAGGGCAGAAAACTTCCAACATTCCTATTGCCTCCAGGAATTTGACTGACATTCCCCACCAAAGCCACAGCATGGGGTAGTTAACCTGCACGTTAAGCCTCTCTGGTCTAGGGCAGAGTAATAACAAAGCTCTGCTTATTTTCTGCACAGCAGAGACACAGTTGTGTGCTCAGCCAGGCCATTTCTGTCAGGTTTCTTTGCACTGTCAGGTTGTGAGTGCTGCCAGAGCACGATTGTTCCTGAAATTGTATGAGAAGGACTTCAATTTATATATTATGGAAACATCTCCATGGATCTAAGATGGTTTAAACAAAAACAGCGGTTATTTATGATTGAGCACAACCACGTTAGGTCTTCAGAGGCCCCCGGGGGCTTCAGCAAAGCAGTGCTGCTACATCCAGACCCCGAGAGATACCACCCCAAAAAATGAGCACATTTTGAGATGTTCATATTTCAGGTGGCACTGGCTGTGCTGCTTGTAAACCACCTGCTTGGCAGCAGGTCCAGAGCAGCCGTCCAGCACCTGAACCCAGTGCTCAGCAAGAGCTGTCAGGGGCAGTGTCATCCCCTCTTCACCACCCTCCTACACATCCGCCCTGCCACTGTGCTCAGACGGAGCAGAGGGCAAATGTTCCCAAGGGAAGTGCTGGCAACAGCAGCTATCCAAGTATCCATGTTTCTTACCTGACGTAGACACCAAAAATCCCAAGCTCCGAGATGCACTCGGAAACTTTCAGCGGAGTGTGAGGCCGCAGCAGGTAGTTCTTTGATGGCCGTGGTTTGATCTTATCCATCAGAATGTATGAGGTCCTCTCAGGGCTGTCTTTGATCTTCTCCAGAACGTGCCTGAGCTCTTCACCATAGAGGTTGTTCCCTGACAACAAAACCAGCGGGTCAGGCACATCCCAGCACAGCAGCAGAAGTTATTTGCCCCAGGCAGCCCAAACAGGTGCAGCCTTTGCCTTGTGCTGTCTGCGTTCCTTGGTTCCCAGCTCCAGGAGTTTAGGAAGCTTCTTCAGGAGCAGCTCCTATGTCACTGCCGTGACTAGTTCCCACAGCAGGATCTCGGGAAGGACCAGACAAGCTGCCCCAAATGCCTTGTTCTTGCTGGCCAGGCCCTTAATGGGCCTTATGGCCCCACAGACGAGCTGCTGCTCATCCTCGCTGCCCCTCCCAAACGCCAGCAAGGCCACACGAGTGGTGGGAAGAGGCGATGGAAAGGGCTGTTTCTAAAGCCCATGCAGGACCAAAACAGACTTTAAACACGCCAGTGGTGATCTGCATTGCACCTCTTACAGGAGCATAAGAAAGGGGCAGCTACAAGCCATCCTTTGAGCCCCCAGGACAGATACACAGCAAACCCTCCCCAGGGCCCCTCCAGCTCTCACCTCCACCCTCTCGTTGTGGCTTCAGCACGAAGCGGTCGGGGTCAGCAATGGCCTTCGCAGCCATCTTGTCACCCTCTTCTCCCTGGCAGCAAAGGACGACGACAGCAGAGCATCAGGGAAAAGCAGGGGCTCCCGCACAGCCCGCTCTGAGCAGGGCCACCAGAGTCCCCACCAAGGCCACAAAGCCCTTTCAGGAGGGCGGATTTCACAAAGGGCTTCCAAGATCCGTTTTACCTGCTACTTTTCTAACCAAAGAGAAATATTCAACAGGCTGGGTGTATCTGCACGGTCCCTCCTGCTCCAGACGTGCGTCACTCACCAAGTCCAGGGAATAGAGCCCAGTAAACGTGGCTCTTATCCGAGCCACGGATGCTGCCCGGCCTGGCAGGAGTTTCTCCAGTGTCCCTGGACGGGTCAGCTCCTGCTGGACCTTCTTGGTCCCAGCCAGCTGGGTAGCAATGTCAGGGCACTTCACTGCCCTCGACCTCTCCAGCAGCAATCGTGCCTCCCAGTTCTGAGACAGAGAGAGAGAACAATAATCCCATCAGCAAAGTAACGATTTTCTTGACCCAATTCTGTTCACTTCCTGACATACAATTCCCTCCAGGTATGGGGGTGGGAAGCATGGCACACGGGAGACAAGGAGGCAAATGCACATGCGGATCTCCGGACACGGCATAGCCAGGTTAGTTCCATGCCTTTACTTGCATCCCCTCTCCAGCTTGCCCAGTGCTGGCACTTGTAGACAACAGCAACATCTGGTCTGCAGCATTACCACCTCCAGCTTAAGGGTAGAAAATTATCCATAGTTCAGGTCTTAACTCTTGAAGCAGGTGCTCATATCTGCATTAAACTGCATTGTATGGAAGTGCTGTGGATAAGAGGTGACAGCACAAATGGCTCTTGGAGGAGAAAGCCATTCCTTCTTCCCACTGCCTACGCAGGAGCACTATGAGAGCACCAAGGACCCTCCTACGTTCGCAGCCTCCCAACAGGATCAGCCCTGCTGGGCAGGGTTAATCCTGCCCAGGACAGGACTGATTCCACCTGGGATCATGGGCAGTTTCAGAGCTGCTGGGCACGGCTTCTCCAACCCCAGCAGTCAGTACCAACCTGTGGATCGTAGTTTTGGGGCACGTAGCCCTCTCTGTAGTACACCACTGCTACCTCCTGGCCATCTCTGGAACAGAAGGCACCAACAGTCACCAAAGCAGCCCAGCCACCAAATCCACCCCTCTACTCAAGACCTCCAGCACCCCAAGCAGACAGCGTGTCACACAAAGGGTTATGGGACCAGCCTGAGCAGCTGGTTGGGCTGCAGCAGCCAGAACTTCTCCTCCACCCAAAGGATTCTGTGACAACCATCTAGTTGAGTTACTGTGGGTCCCGCCTGTGTTCTTCTACTCATGCACTGCCCCCAGACTGTCCCACTGCAAAGACACCAAACAGGGTTCCAATGGAGCCCAAACTCTCTTCTAAGGAGCCTCTGTCATCTTTGCTTTCCTCTCTATAGCCCTTCCCTCTTCACATTTGTCCCTTCTCCTTGGTCTCCCGGGCTGCACGGCTGCTCCTCACGATGGGGACTGGGCCTTGCAGAGGAAGCTCTTTGCTCTGCAAGTGAAGGCAGGCGAAAGCAGACGACTGCAAACTCCTTTGCTCCTCTCCACGGAGCTCTAGCTGCCTCATTCTACCCCTGACATCAGGCCTCTGTGTGACTAACTGATGCCTCAATAATTCACTCAGCTCAGCAGGGAGGTGAGAATTTGCTTTTTTAAACAGCTTTTGCCACTGGGAGCCAGACTCTTGGCACTGAGAGGTCCCTTCTCCACTGGTAGGTCAAAGCGGGGGACCCCAACTCAATATCCTGCCCCCAAAACATCCTGCCCAATGCTCTTAACCTGCCTGCAGCACCAAACACATGAGCTTTGGTCACACAAACTGTGCACGTGCCCAGGGAAGACAAACACTGACGCTGGGGAGGAGGCAGGGACTGGAATTTAGGGGCATTGGTCAGTTAGGAAAGAGGAAGCTCTGCAGGAAGCTCAGCAGAGACTCTCTCTCCTTAACTGTCTGGCAATGAAGAGCGTGTCAATTAAATGTGGCAGAAGCACCAAACATAAAACTACACTGAAAAAATAATCTAAGCAGAAATAACAAGGGGAAGTAACATGAGCATGACACCACTTTTTCCTTTAGGCCTGTTTAGCCTAAAGGAAAAGCTGTGCAGTACATCACCCTGGAAGTCTGGATAAACACCACATTTGGAATCCACTGTTTTACTGGGAAGGGAGTCTATAAATCCACAGTCCAGTCTTTGCTAGGAACGGAGGAGAAGCCAAATGCACTCAAAACTAACAAATCCCACAAGGACATGTAAAATGCTTCCTCCTCTAGCACTAACTCCCACTAGCAGATCAACACGTGAATGGAAAACAGGAAATGTCCCCGGGGAAACCTCTGCAAGAGCCAGAACTTTCCAGAGCAGATGTATGGGAAGGAAGCAAAGATCCTGGAGAGCTCTCAAGGCTGTGATTGAAGGAGGGAAATTTTGCCTCTGTATGTAAGGGGCTGAAGTGTATATGTAAAATCCCACCAGCGTGGGAAACACCATTTCCCTCTCATACAAAGTGGCAGCAGCCCTTTGGAACAGAACTGTATTCTCAGAAAGCCACTGTTAGCACTCAAAGACAGACCCCAAATTCCCACTGAGAGCTCATGAAACTCATGAGCCAACTCTGTGTGCCCAACAGCCAGCCAGGAACGGGCACCTTGGCTCATACTCACATATACAGCCTCCTGGCATCATCTAGAGAGCCCTTCTCAAACACATCTCTGAACTGCTTCCTGATGACCCGAATATTCCTGTAAGAAAGAAGGAGAGTGACCAGGCTGTGTGTGGAGCTACGTGTGCCAGAAAGGCAAAAGTGGAACCACTGAACCCAATGAGGAGGATGTTCAGGCTCTTCCATGAGCATTCCTGGCATTCCATGGGTCAGGCTAGTCCCTGTTTTCAGCACTCCCCCTCTCTTTCCAGAGCAAACACCAGGAAGCACAATATGTGCTTAAGCACACTGTATTTTTCCTCATCTCTCACCTCCTAAAGTGTTCCTAGGAGAATTTAGGATTCTGCTTCTTTTATCCCTACATGACATATATATTCACTGTTGGCTTCAAAGCCCAAAATTGCGGATTAAATTTTACATCCTGCAAGTGTCTCCCAACTTCTGCTTTACGGGTTTTCTCCACAAAGAGGCGGTGTGGCCCTGGGGATGCAGTGACACACTCGGCAGCCAGCCTGTTTCCTACAAAACTGTGAATCTGCAAGGTCTCCTTCTGCACCAGCACAGTCTGGAGGGGCTCAGGGCTAGATGATGTTCAAACACTCCCCATTTCTACACCCTTTAATCCACAGCCAATTCCTTCCTTAGCCCAGATCTGTCACAAAGATCTTTGAAGCTTCATTAAGTTTTATGAAACCTCCTGGTTTTATGAAACCATTAATGAGGTCCTAAGTAGGACCCTCATTAACCCAGCTCTGCTCCACAGAGTCCTGGTGGAGAGATGTGTCCCACAGCAAAGCCACCACGGGTGCAGCTCCCAGGAAAAAGTCCACAAAACCAGCCCTGGAAAGCAGAGGCTTTGATCTCTGCTGGTATTTCCCTCAAAGAGCTGCTGTTTGGCACTGTGAGGTGTGTGTGAAGATGAAGATGGGTACTGAGGCTAGGAACTCCAAAGAAACACTGGAGGGAGCTGCTTCTCTTTCCCCCTCACAACTGTACCACCTCCTTCCCTTCCTACCCCAAGAAATTCCATCATTACCTGTTCCAGAGCTCATTTTCTACACATCGCTGATCAAAGATATTCCTTTGCACTTCCTCCACCAGGAACATCACCACGGCACTGAAAGAGATACCAAGAATGCAATTAAACCCAGAAAGACCCAACAGGCACCCCAAAACTCGCAAGCTTTTGACCTCTTTGAGGTTCAGTCTTCCTGCAGTGCTCCTGTGCGGTGGCTCCAGCATCTTTAAGGGTGAGCACAGAGAGCAGCACCGATCCCACATCATTAACAAGCCAGTGCTGGACACAAGCACCAAGGACATGAGGAAAACTGAACCACGCAGTGCTCTTTAATCACCCAACTCCTCCAGAGTCTCTCTGCGGCACATCCAAGAGTGACAGGACACCCTGTGCACACAGAGGTCCAAAATAGCAGCCTTGCACGCTCAGGTGGCAGCTCTGCTCCTCACAGGATGGCCCTGATCTTTCCGAGAGCTGCTTGTCTAACAGAGAGGCATCTTTCACAAAGTGCAGTTTAAGAAACAAAAATGTGCGTATCCCCAAGGGAGCCAAGATAACGTGGCCTCCGGCAGCTTCTCTCTCCTTACCTCTGTGAACCGTAGAGCTCCCAGGCTTTCGCAATTCCCAGGGCAAGTCCTTGGGCTGGATTGTTGGGCAGTAGCCGTGAGGCCTCCTCAGTTCTTCCCAGCATCTTCAGCACCTGCCTGTGGCAAAGAAGCAGCTCTCAGTGTGACAGCCGCTGCCCATGGCTCTAGAGCAGGGGCTGGGGGAACAGGGAGGGAGAAAGGGCAGCAGGCCTGGCCGTGGAGCTGCTTCCCTACCGGTGAACGGCCAGGGTGCGGGACGTGAGGCCCCCGAAGCTGGCAGCAATGGTGTTGATTTCAATCTGCTTCAGCGCCGGCGTCCCATCCACGCCACAGTCAAACATGTAATCCGAGCGATTTATGCCTAAAAACACAGACTGAAACAGAGAGGAGGGGAGGTAAAGTGGGAGCGAGTTTCCCTTCCCTTGCATGCCTGGAACAACCGAAAAGTTCCCTTTTACTGCTAATCCCTTGATGATCTCACTTTAAAATCCTCCTGGGGGCAGATCCAGCCACCACCACTTTGCTAAACGCCCATGCAAGACCTGCCCGTGAGTCCTGGCCATCATCCAGCCCTCGCAACTCTCTGATGAGGAGAAATGTGTTCCTGCAGGACCAGGCCACCCAGAACGAGTCCTGACAGAGCATCCCTGCATGCTCCAAGACTCCCAGAGGACAGGACAAGCAGGTCTGAAATTTCCTTGGTCAAGGCCTGGTTGCTTGCAGCAGCGCTATCCAAACAGCGCAACCGGCACACGGGCCAAGGCAGTGAGCTTCTGGGTGGAAACTGGCTGAGATTTGTAACCCTGGGAGCAACAGGACAGCTCCAAGAGGAGCAATGGAGCTGCAGACAGAGACACCGGGCGATCACCCTGCAAAGGGGCAAGGCCCCTGCCTCGGTACCTGAGCCAATCCTTCCTCCAGAACCTGCGTGTAGATCCGGAAGAGTCGAGCCGTGAAGTCGTCGACCTTGATGGTGCTAAAGAGAAACAGAGATCACATTGGCCACCAGATGCTGTCACACAGAGAAAGAGGAGGATTCATCCTGCAAGTCCTATTAAACAGCTCACCATGAAAGCCCTCTCCCTCAGGGGCCAGAGCACACCATTCAAGTCCAATTTGCTCAGCACAGCCATGCTACTAAAAGCACCTCTCTCTGTGCAGAGGTGACTAATTCGCAGGTCAGAGAGGTAGGCAATGGGAAAGAAACACAGAAAAGCTCTGATGAGAGACAAAAGAAATCAGGAACCTCTCTGGGCCACTACAAAGAAGAAACTTCAGGAGTTTCAACAAATCTTCTGTCCTACTGGCCTCCAAATCCTGTGCAAATCCCCAGCACTCTGTGGGCCTGACAGAAGAGTCTTTTTCCCTCCAAAAAAACAAATTTCTGGGCTAATTATGAGCTGCACCTCCAAAGCACAACAGCCCTGGGGCACTGCACAGTGCAGGGCATGGGCAGGGAGCAGAGGCCCAAGCCCCAGGCTTTGCATTCCTTAACAACAAGTAGAAACAGGCCCCTGGCCACAGCTCCGTCTGCAGGCAGCTATGGAGCTGGCACAAGGATTAAAGCGGCTCCAAGGGCTCAGGTCTTAGGAAAAACACCTCATTTTCTCTGTTCCTGCACCCAAGTGCCCCAGTTGCACCCAGGACTCAAAGAAGCCTCCAGCAACTTGAACATAAGGTCTATGGGACAGCAGTTTTATGAGTGAGAATCCAAGGGCCTTAAGACTGGCATCATTGCAGAGAGTCAGTTCTTGGGCGGACTTTGCACCTTCTGGGAGACCCAAGACGATCCCAAAGGACAAAGAGTTGGTGAAAACTAATCTTAGGACAAGTCATGCAGCAAAGGAGAGATGATTCTTGCAGAGGATACATGTGCCTACGCTCTAAGACATTCAGTGTGCTAGGACACACACAGACGGAAGCTGGGAATGCTGGAGAAATCCATGAGAAATATCAGGGGAAGGCATGAGCTGAAGAATAACGCTTTCATACATTTAAAATATTTATTTAGAAGGCATCATAGGATTAAAAAAAATATAATAATACCTGGCAAGAGTTCGCTCCAGGAATTCTTTGTTCTGGCTAATGGCATCCACAAGCAGGTTGAAATCTTGCTGAACAGCATACGCTTGCTCAAACAGGGCACTGGGTACTGCTGATGGGAGCAACGTGAAGGGAGCATAACTCACCACCTGGAAAAAGGGAGCCAGCAGCAGAGAAGTTGGATGTTGCCCCAAAATGCTGGAAGTCACCCCAGCCTATGTAGTCTAAAGGAGGCAAAATTCAAAACTATGTTTTGAATAAAAAACTTCCTGTGTTTGTGCAAAGGTTCAAGCTATCCACCTTGCTGGTGCTTTCAATGAACCACAGGAGGGGACACAGTCTGAAACCCGCTCGCTTTGGCCCATTTAGCTCTAGGAGCCATTCAGGGGGTCTGCGTAGGCAGGAGCCGCTGCCCTAGAGCTAAAGCTGAGTCTTTCTGTCCAGAACATGCTCCGCTTTCACAGAATCACAGGATGGTTGAGGTTGGAAGGGACCTCTAGAGATCATCTAGTCCAACTCCCCTGCTCTGGCAGGGACACCAGGAATATGTGGCACAGGGCGGCATCCAGGTGGGTTTGGAGATCTCCAGAGAAGGAGACTCCACAGGCTCCCTGGGCAGCCTGTGCCAGGGCTCTGGCACCCTCACAGGCAAGAAGCTCCTCCTCACATGGAGAGGGAACTGCCTGTGTTGCAGCTTACACCCGTTACCCCTTGTCCTGCCACTGACCACCACTGAGAAGAGTTCAGCCCCTTCCTTTCACCCTGCTGGGGGAAAGGCACCTCCAGACCGCTCCGTTCCAGAGCGGACGGGTGATTCTCCCGCTCCGGGCGCCGCTCCTCAAACAGAGCCGCCAATCGCGACCCCCCAGCCACGTCCCCGCGCGCGGGACGGGGGCTCCCGCGCGGCACGGGGGGCTCCCCGCTCACCTGCGAGGCGCCGGGCTCCTCCTGCGTGCGCATGAGCACGCCGGCCAGCAGCGCCGCGTCCACGGCGAGCAGCGCGGCCTCCCGCGCCAGCGGCTCCTCGGGCGGCGCTGCCATGGCCGCGCTGCGGGCGCACGGCACACGTCAGCCCACGAACACCACCGCTTCGCCCGTTTTCCAAGCGTTTTTCCCCCCACACACGCCTATCCCCAGCTTTCTATAATACGGGGAAAACGCCAAACTTGGGTCAAGCGCCGGTTCCTCCCCATCAGGGAGGGGGGTTTCCTCCAGGATCACGTTGGCAGATGTGGAAATAACGTCTGGAAAAGCAAACCACTGCCCTGGGCACAGTTACGAGCTCGGTACGGCCTGACCCCCATCGCTCCTGCGGCCAAGGAAGGGGCCGCTGCAGGCTACAGCTCTGCGCTGCTCCTGGCCCCGGTACGTGCGTTAATTATTAATATAAAACTAATTGTTATTGTTATGATCCTCGGTGCTCGGTGTGACTCTGTCCTGGCAGCTGTGGTGCTCATGGCCCCAGCTCGGGGGCAGTGCGGGTGTCGCCCGCGGGGCTGGAGACGGGGAGAATGGCCCACCTAAACCTAAACCTAAACCTAAACCCAAACCTGAACCTAAACCCGAACCCAAACCCAAACCTGAACCTAAACCCGAACCCGAACCCAAACCCGAACCCAAACGCAAACCCAAACCCGAACGCAAACCCAAACCTAAACCCAAACCTAAACCCAAACCCGAACGCAAACCCAAACCTAAACCCGGGCCCCCTACACGCGCCGGCCTCACCTGCCCCCTCAGCGGTTCGACCCGCTCTGCCACACGCGATTGGCCGCGCCGCTCCTTCCGCCCCGCCTCCTTGCTCGACTGGCAGGGCCACGGGCCAATCAGCGCGCTGCAGGACGGTACCACTCCGCGCTGGAAGCTGGGGGTGCTGTGGGGGGTGTGGCTGCGCATGCGCAGAGTGGGCGGCTCTGAGGGGCGGAGCGGGCCGCGCGCCCGAGGGCGGGGACGGACGGTGTCCGCGGCGGGAGTGCGTCACAGAGCGGCATGACGTCATGAGATGACGTCAGTTGGGGGCCCCGGGCGGTGGCGAAGTAGGGGCAGGGAGAGGTGGGAGGGGTGAGAGGGACCCCGAGGGGGGAGGGGCGCAGGGTGGGGTGACCGGGGGGCACCCCCTGGGGTGAGCGATGTGGGGGACACCCCATGGATGACGTCATTTAGGGGCACCCCATGGCGTGACGTCATGTGTGTGGGGGTGCCTTATGGGGTGAGATGATGTGGAGTTACGTGGTGGGCTGAGGTGACATGGGAGAAACCCCATAGGATGAGGGGACATGGGGGACACCCCATAGGGTGAGAGGATGTGGGGGGCACCCCATAGGGTGAGGTGACATGGGGGACACCTCGTAGGGTGAAGGGACGTGGAGGGACATCCCGTAGGGTGAGGGGACGTGGGGGGATGTCCCATAGGGTTGAGCTAACATGGGGGACACCCCATTGGGTCAGGAGATGTGGGGGGCACCCCACAGGTTGAGGTGACATAGGAGGCCGTCCCATAGGGTGATGTCATGTGGGGACTCCCCATGAGGTGAGAGACACGTGGCAGGGTCACCTCATGGGGTGAGATGATGTGGGGACGTCCCATGGGGTGAGATGACGTGGTGGCACTGGGCACCCCAAGGGGTGTCCTGCACTGGAGCTGCTCTGTCAGGGACAATGCTGACTGCCCCCACCCACCCCAGGGAGCTTCACGGCGGCTTCCCAGGGACAGCCATGGTGGCACCTGGGGCTCCCGAGCGCCACCAGGGTGGCCTGAGGATGGTGACAGGACCCCGGGGAAGGGGGTACCAGAACAGCGGGGTCCGGGATATCAGAATCCCTCTGTTTTGGGAAGCTTTGGTTCCCAATAGTGAGATTTCAGGGCATTCCAATCTGCTTAGCTCCTAAGGTTTCAACCTTAGGAAAAATGAGGAGCCCATTTCAGACATTATTAGATGTTATTTTCCTGAGTTTGATCCCAAGGGAATGGCCCTTGGAAGTGCTCAGAGTCCCACGGTGTTTTGATCTGAGGAATGAGTAGTGGTTTGGTAGAGAAGTTGCTGAGTAGTGGTTTGGTAGAGAAGTTTGGTAGAGAAGCTGCTCATAATGCAGCTGTCACCAGCGCTTGCCAGGTTCATGTCTTAACCCTGGGGACAATATTACTGATTTACTGGAGTAGATCTTGCAGTTCTTGGGCTGGCTAGAAACAGCATTTCTTGAAAGCAACTAACGTTTTCCTCTCTAGAGATCTGTGACTGCGACAGTGAGTGATCCTTTCTCCAGCATTAGTAGAAGATCAGGGTCATCTGCAGGGAGAACAGCAGGAGAAAGGGCCAGAACCCAGCGACTCATCTGGACTTCTGTTGCTCTTGAGGAACAGCCTAGGTGACAAAAATACGAGCTGTGAGGACAGTCTCCTGCTGCCAGTAAATCATCCACACAGTACCAGGGGCTGCCCAAAGGAGAGGTCTCCAATATTGTGTTGGTCTCCTGGATTCAGCAGACGTTGGAGGACTTTCCAGTCGTCTGTGTGGGGCTACAGCCGAAGAGTTTCCTATTCTGGGGGTGGAAACCCCTAACTCCTCAGTTCGGAGCTGCCCGCACAGACGCTCTCCTTTGCCACACACCCCACTGAGGATGTTCTGGTGAACGTGAAGCAGCAGTTTTGCCGTTTTGTAATAAGAAAACAGAACTAGGTGAAAGCCCTCGTGATTCCCCAAAGTGAAAGCCTTTGCAGTCACAGCACCTTGGCTGGGGAACAGGTAAATTCGTGCCCTTTGACAGCAGCATCTGAGGGAGCTGGCAGAGGGCAGTCTATGGAGCATGGTTTGTGTCGTAGCTCATTGACTCTAGTGGCTGCCAAGGCCCCTCTGAGCCCCCCAGCCTCTGGAGGGGCAACCAGCTGATTCTGCCACATGTCATGAGCACTGGTGGCACTTAGGGCTGAAGAAGGAACCAGCTCCTTGTGTCTCCTGGCGATACCAGGACAGAACCAGACCCCTCAAGCACCCTGCAGTCTATCTCAGCCCCAAAGAAACGCAACAAGATCAACATTTCCAAGTGAAATCTTGCAGTTCTTCAAGCTTTCCTTCGAAAGAGTGTTAGACCTTTACAGCCTTTAATCTTTAGTACAGAACTGGGAAAGAAGCAGAAGCCGATACTTTAAATATCCTAAAGAGAAGCCCTTATATGTCACTGCGTTCCACTGTGTAACCTGAATATCTAAGAGGAGCCACGATGCTGTGAAGCCCTGAGGTTTTCAAGGGGAGCTGCCCAGGCGCGGGGCGCTGACACGGAGCCTCTTTGCACAGCCCCAGCCCGGTGCTGAGTGCGGTTTGCACCTCCAGGAGGACACATGGGAAGATGCAGCGCGTCCTCAGCTTCTGCCTTGGGTGGCTGGCAGGAAAACCCAAGTTTGCGAGGTCCCTGCTGACGGGGGACAGGGCTTCCCCTGCAGACAGCACCGAGAGGGCCCAGGACGGCCTCTCATCTCCCCCTCTGCCTCCTCCTCTCCCACAGAACGATCTCGCAAACCCGCAGCCTTTCCCACAGGAGGGAGAACCCAGCGAGGCCCCCTCTGCTCCCAAGGAGGAGAAGCCAAGCAGCCCCCTGCTCCCTGGCGAGCGGGGCAGCCCCGCAGCCCCCTCTCCCTGCAGGAAGGGGCAGAGCCAGAGCTCCGTGCCGGGCGCTTCGCTGCCCTCCGACAGCAGGAGCTCCCTGAGCTCGCGCTGCCCCGGGAGCAGCGACCACCTCGCGCAGTCCCTGCCCGCGGGAGGAACATTTGGGGGCAGTAGTAGAGCGGCCTCAGAGGAGCTGCGGCCTGGGGCTGCCCAGGGGCCTCCTGAAGATGCAGCCCCAAATCAGCTGCTGCTGTGCAGATGTGGCCGTGTCCCTCCCGACAGGCTCTTCAGTGACCACGTTCCCCAGGCGGCTGCGAGGAAAGGCACAAGTGGCTCTTTCACTTCAAAGGCATCTGCCAAGTCTGAATCCTCGTCCACGGTGTCCTGTGAAGAAGCCCCGGGTGAGCCAAGCGACAGCTCCTGGCAGCGTTACCAGGTGGTGCTCCTGCCTCCGTCGCCTTTGGAAAGCATCCAGAGGAGCACGAAGATGCAGCGTGCCACCCCAGAGCATCCCTTGGAGAGGGGCGAGCTGCTGCGGGAAGGCTTCCAAGTGGCGATGGATGGAAGACAAAATGCCAGGAGCGGCATGGAGGCATCCATGAGGAGCATCCCTGGCGTGTACGTGCGTCCCTTCCCGGCGAATGGAGAGGTGTCTCCGTCCGGGAGCACCATCGGTCGCCCCTTCGGCTGCTCCTCCTCCTCTCTGCCTGAAGCTCCTCGCTCAGAAAGCCACGACCGTCTCAAGGCCAAGCTGGCGACGCCGGAGACTTACAGGAGCGTGGACAGAGGATCCGTGGTCAAGCCTAGCGCGGGGAGCGGAAGCTGGTGCAAGTGCTCCCAGGAAATCCTGCTGCACCGCATGGGAGAAGGTGCTAGCTACAGGGCGAGGAGAGGAACCTTTTGAGCAAGAAGCATCTCAGACGTCCTCCAGGTTTGTACCAGCTCCAGAATTTACCCTTGCCACGTGTGTCCGTCATCAGCAAAACTCCAGATCTCCTGCTCCCCTCCTATACGGGAAGAGCAGCCCACTCTGGGTCCTCCTGGTGCTCCTAAGGGTTTGCAGAGGTGCGCGATGTGGACAGCACGTCCTACAGCCCCATGCAGGCCAAGGCTGGTTCATGTTTTAGGTCTTTTAGCCTGCTCTCCAATTCATCTGAGATTGGCCCAGCCTGGAGGAGCTTGTGAAGTCTGCAAGTCCCTTCTGCACAGGCCTTCCCTGTCCTGCACGTCTGTTTTTGTGCTTTCAGAGGGCCTCTAAGCACAGTCACTTTGGAGAACTTGCTGACCTGCATTTATTCTACATGGCAAATCAGTCCCAGGTATCCTGCAAATCCCAGCATCATTCCTACTAGAAATGGCAGTGTGGAGGAGCCTGTTGTTGCAGGAGCCTGTATGAGGAAGAGCTAAAATTGAATCCAAACCAAACCATGTCCTTCCTAT